GACTAGGTGGAGGTGGAGGTGGTGGTGGCGGTGAAGGTGGTGGCGGAGGGAACTAACCAACATCAGGACCAGCCCTCATCTCCTCCAGCATGACCCTCATCATGGTCATGTTCGCCATGCGGTTCGCCTCCAAAACATCCTCAGTGGCTTTCTTGTTCGCCTCTCTGACGGCGTCCAACATAGCCTGGTTTGCCATTCTCAAGGCCTTCTGGTCGGCTAGTCGAGCCGCCTGCATATCAGCCAGGACAGGATCAGGTTGATCCTCGCTAGTGTCTCGGTTCCTCCGAGGTTGCACCATGACTCTGCACAAGTTACACAAGGAATGAGTTGATCAGGCCCACGCAATGTGGTCATATATGCATTATCATACCAAAACCCAATAGAGAGAACACACAAACACGACTCAAAACAAACATACTAAGTTATTGCAATACATACAGGCTTTTCCCTAGAAAGTGCTCTGATACCATAAAATGTAATACCCCGTATATACCCGGTTTGTTAACATGTCATCGTATTAAGCCATGCTTAATTAAAAATGCGGAATATCTTTTTGTTTTCAATTATGACGTCATTATCCTTACCAAGTTGAATTACTTAATTCATTTCAAAACATTGCCTGTATGTAAATTGCAGAAGACAGCTAACTGAAATACCTCATAAATTAAATAACTGAAAGTGGGTCTCTAGTCACGGAACACAACACGTAGACCAGACAGATCCTGATAGTTTGTACAACGCAAATAAACTTAAACATCGTCAAATCAATTTGGCATGGACAATCCCCATGCTCACTAAATAAACAGCATACTCATCAAGTCTCAAAACAAACAACATGGTAATGGTAAAAGCATAAAACCAAGCAGGTACATCATCATAAACAGTAAACATGATAATCAACTAAGCTCCGGCCTCCTGCCGCTAGAGGTCTCAACCCCTGGGTTACCTGAACCTGAAATAAGCGCCCCAAACGTGGGGTGAAATCTCTAAACATAAATCTCAGTAAGGCAAGGGGTCCTTAAGGATCTTCCACCCCAAGCTCACTTACATGTGCAATATAAGTTCTAAAAACAGTTCAACAGTATAAGTTCCAAAATAGTGCAATGCAGTAGATAATCATGTCATGTGTGTTATAACTAATCTACTGGCCAGAGAAATGCAGGAATACGTCTATTACCCACACTAGTGCAAGACACCACTTGCACCCACCCACGGTGTTACCGTCTTGTATGACGCCACATACTCAGGATAACCGTCGAAGTAGAACAACACATACATAATAAAAGCCATTGCACATAAAGCTCAACAACATTTTCAAAGCATGTAAACACAACATGCATATAAACCATTCCCGCATGGGGTATGGTGAAACCACACAATGGCTAAACCGAGGACACAAAAGCTTACCTTGCAAGCTAACTATCCAATGCCAAGAGTCCAACCAATCTCAAAGCCCAAACACAGCAGAATCACAATCTGTTTTGGACCAACAATCATATCAATATACAAGCATACAAGCATATGTCATAAAGACAACGTCTTTGCTTTACATTTCACGTCTTAAGGCTTCTCACAAAGCTACAAGCCCTTAATTACTTGATTCTGACTTAGATTAACCATTACAGAAGTCATACTTCATCAAACTAGGGTCCACAAACCCATAACAACATTCTGTATGAACAGTGCAACTGCTGTTCTTCGAAAACCCAGAATATCCGGATATTCGTCGGGGGCATATCCGGATGTCAATATCCGGATATCTGACAGGCAATATCAGGATATTCAGAACCCCACATCTGCATATCAATTTCCGGATATCCATATCTGGATATCAATATCCGGATATTTCTAACCCAATATCCGGATATTTCGCGGCAGAACTCAGATTCTGCATTTCGTGAGATATCAATTCAAAGGTCCAACTTTTACCGATTACAGAAGCTTAAACATGCATTTCTAGGTGTGTTTAGCATTACCCAACCTTAAGTTATCAACTTTAGCTCATTACATGCATCAAGGTTCCATTTTTAATAAAGAAAACTCAAGCACAAGGGTGATGATCATACCACAAGCTCAAAACAGAGTAAGAAGGTGCTCTTGGAGCTCACACAACAGCTCCAAGGTACTGACTTCAACAGTGAGCGAAAATGATGATTAATGGTCCTTTGCACCAAAGATGGCTCCTTGGCACCACCAATTCCAAGTAAAAGGCTCACACAAGCACCAAGTTCAGAGGCAGCAACTGCACCTCCCCCAAATGGCTCCCACAACCCAGCAAATAGTGACCCTCAACCTCACAATGCACTCTACAAGTGATTACTTGTTTAGAGATGAAGAAATCAAGAAAAGGTGACAACTTGATCTCACAAAATGGTGAAGAGGAGCAATGAAACAGTGACAAACCGTTCAGCCTCCAAGAGTGTCACATATAAGTCTGATATGGCCTAGGGTTTTGGGCCAACTTGCGTATATATAGTGTTTTAAGAATTAAACACACAGTATTAACACTAATTGCTATGCTTAACATTTTAATCCCAAACTTTGGAATCTGAACCTACTCAATTTTACAAGATTTATCATATTTTTATTATATTTTTTGCAGCACCTTTCTGGTACGCGCTTTTCCATAGCCAATATCAGTTCTGGCATCAGTTCTCATTATTTTAACTTGAAACTCGTTTTACAAGTCCTATATAATATTCTAGGAATATTCATGCACTTATTATAATTTTCCGGATACTTCATCGGTACGCATTTATACCGAGTAGCAGAACCGGTATCTGCACTTTTCGTCAGAAAAATGACTTTCAGCTTTAATAAACACTTACCATAATTATTTAAGCCTCATAATAATTATTAGGGTCAATTATGGAATTATTTCCTAATTTCTCATAATTAATTAATTAACTTCCTTAATTAACGGTGCAGGTTCTTACATAGTATACCATATTTTGAGGATGAGCGACAACTGCACCCCAATGCGGATACACTCTGTCAAAGTATGATAGCCTCACATTTCCAGAAGTGAGCTTAGTGGCCTCATTAGGCCCATTACTGAAGACCATCGTTCAATGCATGGAAGTAGATCCGTAATCAACTTGCACATCAGTAGGCAATCCAAGGATACCCACCATATCTTGCAATGCAATGGTCATCTCGCCTTGCGACATATGAAATGTGTGTGTCTCTAGTCTCCACCTCTCAACCAGAGCACTGATAAGGGCAACATCAATCTAAAAAAATAAGACAATTATCAATTTATATGTTAAAATACACTTATTTACAATGATTATATTTCAACACAATATATGTAACAAAATTCATAAATGCATACCTGCACATATCGCATGGGGGCGACATGTATGAAGCCACCTTGAGTCAAGTACTGTGCATTGAGTATGGAATATCGTCGGGTGGTGGTCCCCCATTGGGTCTACCTCCTCGGCGAATCTTCATCTCTCTGTGGGTCTCCTCGTTCCATACAACCTGTGAAACGTGGGTGCGCTGTCTGCACCTCATGAGTATATCTCATTTGTATAGTCCAAGAAAAACATGCGTGGTGGGATCGGTAGGCTCATGCTCATGCTCAGGTGCAGGCGAGGTGACTCGGATGACGAAGACTTAGCCATAATAATATGCTAAAAATTTTGAAAACATTTTATCATAATTTATTTAATTTCAAATAATTAACTTGTCTAATATAGAAATTAAAAAAAAAATTAAATCAGAAATATATATTTTTATTATTTTTAATGCAAAATCACTAAGCAATATTCATAAATTGGTTATGTATGTCCTAGGTCCCTAATCATAACCTAGGTCACTAACAATATTCCAAGCCACTAAGCATGTTATATGTCACTGACTATGTCGCTAAAGTATTTTTTAAGTCACTATTCAAAATATAATTCACTATTCATAGTACAAGTCACTATTAAATAGATTAATTTTTTTTTATTTGCAGTTAATTGGCATAATTATAGAAGATTTGTATTAAATAGATTAATTTTCTTATTTGCAGTTGATTGGCATAATCATAAGAGATTTGTATTAAATAGAAATAATAACAAGTTATTTTATTTCCTTATTCATAGACAGCTAATTTGTAACAGACCTAAAGTCCTCATTTATATATATAAAATTAGAATAAACATAAAAAAATATGGGGAATGATATTGTGACAACCAGGTTGTGTTACTACCAAGTGACTACCAATCAATCTATATTGATCCAATGGTTATATTTATTTTCATCTTTGTATGGTCATGATTCCCCAAATTTAATACTTTATATTTATTTTCACCTTTGTATGGTTATGATTTCCCATATTTAATGCTTTCACTTTAAATATGAGAAATCATAACCATACAAAGATGAAAATAAATATAACCGTTGGATCAACAAAGATTGATTTGTAGTCACTTGGTATAACACAACTTATTGTCACAATATCCTTCCCCAAAACATATTCATAAAATGACACCGTTATTTTGACAGTTTAATCCATATTTATAACGTGTGTTTCTGTCTCACGCAAGCGTTCTGTGGTCGCCTCACTTTCACTGTAACTAACTTGCTCCCACTTCCCCGCACAGTCTTCCACTATCGCCCATGACTTCCAAAACGCACCGTCTTACCACCTGTAACCTTCACCCTACCAAACCGGTCACCGGTGTCTGCGCCTTCTGTCTCCGCGAGCGCCTCGCCGGCATAGAATCCTCCTCCACCGCGACCGCCGAGCCAGAGCTCCGCCGCACAAAATCTTTCTCCGGCAGAAGCGGCGTCCCTCCCTCACAAGATTTAGAGACAACACTGGCAAAAATGAATAAACCTGCGCTCTCTACTATGATGTTTTTTAAAGCAAACATGCAAGCAGAAACAGAGCAAATCATCGAATTGCTAATCAAGCTAATAAAGCTTCCCATAATGTTATTCCATGTCCTCCTAGTTCTCATCGAACAGCTGAACAAGCCAATCAAGTACTTGTTCCAACAACTAAGAAAGGTTCCAGGTCAACGCTCAAAAAGAAAGGTTCAAGGTCAACGCTCAAAAAGAAAGGTTCATGGTCAACGCTCAAAATTCCTTTGCAGTATATGTTTTGATTCCAAGGCAGAGTATGATCTGTTCAGAGGAGGTGAGTGCAACCACCCCTTTTGCACTGATTGTATATCCAAGCACGTTGCTACTCAAATACAGCAAAATATTCTCAATGTTCATTGTCCAAATCCAAATTGTTCTATGGAGTTGAAGCCACAACATTTGCAAACCCTTTTGCCTAAAGAAGTTATTGATCGATGGGAATCTGCAAGATACGAGTCTTCAATTGCTGGGTGGCAAAAGACTTATTGCCCCTTTAAGGATTGCTCTGTTTTGTTGGTTAATGATGGAGAAGTTGTGATCCAGTCAGAGTGCCCCTTCTGTCACAGGCTATTTTGTGCGCAGTGTAAGGTTCCATGGCACGCACGAATGAATTGCAACGAATTCCAAAAGTTGAAAAATGGTAAACGTGACAATGATTTGGATAGGAAGTTTTTGGAGTTAGCCAAAGGGAAAATGTGGCAGAAATGTCCCAAATGCTATATGTATGTCCAAAGACGTAGTGGATGTGAACACATGACCTGCAGGTTAATTGATCCTTGATTATTTTCAAAATTTCTTCAACTTTCAATCTATGTAATTCATTATTATATCATTATAATGAAAGTATGGAAAATAATTATAATATTTCTGTTTTCTCTTTACAGGTGTGGATGCCACTTCTGCTACCAATGTGGAGAGAATTGGAAGTTTGGACATTTGTGCTGTAGGCTTCGGTCCAAATAAAACTGGGTATCAATGACCAGAAATAAAAGATTTTGAATTTTACAATTATCACCAGTTTTATGTTTCTATATATGAAGGATTAAGGCTTTTCAAAGTGGATTTGTAAAATCTTTTGACAAATCAAATGCTTGTTTCTTTGTTAGATGTATGCTTTTGTTATACAATTGTCATGTTGGTTTTTCAAAATTGATTTGTAAAATCTTTTGGACAAATCAAATGCTTGTTTCTCTGTTGGATGTATGCATTTGTTATACCATAGTCATTTTTGAAAAATGTAAATGAAAATAAAAGTGATATGTACACAATTTCGGTTAAATGTGATTGGCTCCATGGAGCCTTATTTAAGCTCACTTAAAATTTTTGTTTTATTAAAATCAGGTGGAGCCTCTTAAGGACCTCTATTACAGTTCAGTACATTATAAAAATTATGCATACAACATTATTCAAACAGCTCAAAGCAAAAGCATCGTACAAACATTTATTAAGTCATGGATTGAGAAAATTTCTGCCCTTTCAGTTTATTTTTGAAACCGTACCAAAGTTACTGAGACTTAAACTTAGAATATCAGTGATAAATGTGTCATGTAGGAAATAATTTTCGTTTCTACGGAAGCACCAAATATTTAGCACATCATTTACTAAATATGATAAAAGTAATCTATTTATATTATTTTTATCTTTATGATTAATTCCTTTCGTTTTTTTTTTTTTTTTTTGCTTTTTGCTTTTTTGGTAAGGGAGAAGCATGTCCGTGAAAGTCACGCTCCTCCCTAAGGATTCGAAGAGAGGCTATTTGCTAAGACAAAGAGACCGAAGACTATAGCTGCCTAAAAAATGAGCTCGTCAATCAGGCTAAATAGTGTGGCAATAGTATTATCTATGCGTTTCTTATTTTTGTGATTTGAGCTATACTTGGTAAAAGAGTAATGCTTGCTAAGTTTCAAAGCACATCTTGTTTGATTTGGATATAATTCTAGCTTTTATTTTTATAGGACGATGGGGTTATAATATTCGATGCGCAGCAAACAAATCCTTGTGCTGTCTCTCTATTTTATTCTTTGTGCGAAAATACGAATGTTTATATTACTAATTAGAGAAATGTTAAATATTTTTTTGAAACGACTTAAAAAAGAAAAGTAAAAAATGTATATTCGTTTTGTCAGTTATTTATTTATTTTTTAAATCTTGTTTTTCTTATCTCTTTAATCATTATTATTACTAGACATCTACGATAATTTTAAGGGCCCGTTTGGATGGATTTCCCCCCCTCCAAAAGCTGTTTTATTTTAAGAAAAAAAAGTAATTTTCATGTTAAGTTCTTTTGAATATCTACATTTAAAACAAAGCAGAAGTCACAAAAAAGTTAAAAATTTACTTTTTAAAAAAGCTAAAAATTTTAGCTTCTAAAAAAATAAAAGTCAAAAACTAAATAATTTTTTTTAGAAACTAAATATTATTATAAACATATAAATACCTTTAATTTTTGTAAAATATACTTCTAAAATGAGAAAGAGATACAAATTACTTTTTCTAAAAGCCTCAACAAACGGGCTTTTACGCATTGTAAATATTACACTATACTAGACAAAGTAATTAAGTAATGGCCACTAATTATATTTAGAGAAAAATTTATTTTCATTCCTTATTAGATAGATACTCGTCGTTATAACATATACCATCCAATTCCCTTGTGTTATCCTTAATAAACAAAACACCATTGTGTATGAAATCTAAAAATATCCCTAACTAAAAATTAAATCTTAAAATATCATAGAAATTTAGTATTAAAAAATAATTTATTTATAAAACAATGAAATGATGATATCTGAATTTTCAAGAAGAATAAATTTTACAATTTTAAAAATGTTTTTATTTTTATTTTTTGATCAATAAAAAATTCATATTCAATTTGTTTAGACTTTTCCAAATAAAGATTTTATAAAACAATTTTTTTAAAATAAATAAATAAGTTAATCCTATTTAATAAGAATTTGGATAAAAGATTCTTTTCATAGTATATATCTTAACAAAAATATTATAATCTGTCAACGAATATATATATATATATATATATATATATATATATATATATATATATATCAATTGATACATATGAGAAAAATATATGAAATTTAAAATATGAAGAAATATACATCACATACAAATTTATAATTGTTATAAACAATATTAACGTGGATGCCCATAACCCCCAAATTAATGTGTAACTTTTGTAAAAATGAATTCTCCTAATTGCTTATGATTAGCTAAGAGGGAATACAAAAGTTACACATTAATTCAGATTTTTGATATAAAAAGTGTGTTTACTTGTTCTGCAAGTAATTGATACTCTGGGCTATTGTTGATGGAGATTGTCTTTATTTGTGTTTAGGGTTGAATCAAGTGAGTATGTGAGGAGAAACCAATCATGAGATAAGCCAATGGAGCTTGGCATTGAATCTTGAATGATTCTATAATAGCTAAGTTATCAATTGTGACATTGATGTTTTGTGTTTAGTAGCTTGCAATATGTATTTGTAAGTGATATTGATGGTGTTCCTCACCTTGAATTAGGTGTTGGGCATAGCAAGTGGTTATGTGGACTATTTCGAGTGTATTTTCAAGTGTGTGAAGGTAACTTGTGCTTGAAGCAAGTTATAGATTGGAAGTTTCAGAGGTAAGCTTTCGGACCTTGAGATTTATCCCTTGATTGTTCCATCAAGCCCTGAAAAGGGTGTTGTTGGTTTATATGGCGTATGTAATTGCAATTATTAGTTGTTTAATACTTCGATATATATATATATATATATATATATATATATATATATATATATATATATATATATATATATATATATATATATGGTATGTTTTGTGTGGCATATGATGGTGGTTTCCTATGTTTGTATATTGCATGACGATATGTAATTCATACTTGGTAGATTCCCTGGCGAGTAGGACTATTTTATATCTGAGTATCATGTGGATGGCCAGAGTGCCGTAGGAATGTCTCATGGAGATATTTTACACATTGTATGAATATATATATATATATATATATATATATATATATGCTGCATTGTTTATGTTATTTCTATTACACTTGAAGTAAACTTTGGGGTTTAGTTTACTGAGATATATATGTATATCTCACCCCATGTTTCGGGGACCCCTTTCAGGTACTGATGGTGCAAGAGCATATGTTGGCAGGAGGTCACTATAAATTGTCTTTTACTACATGCTGTTGTTGTTACTCTTTTGTGGTTTATGTATTTTGAGAGCATATGAGATGTCTATGCCTTTTGGATATGCCTATGTTATATGTTAGAGAGCATGTATAGGATATCACATATGACATATGTATTTATTTTACTTGACGTTATGTTGTACAGTTGGTTTTGTTGTTGGAGATAAGATATATATATATATATATATATATATATATATATATATATATATATATAAAATGTATGTGTATATAGTTGATGTAAAAGATCCATGGACCTTTATGTGATATGCATGACTGATGTAGCTGAAGTTGGTTCATGGATGAATCAATGGATTAGACCTTGAATTAGTAAGATAAATGTACGTTCATGTTATCAAATTCTCAACTAGGTACGAAAACATTAAGACGTAAAAGTAAGTAAGTGCTGTTAAAATTTCTGCTTACTTGTGAGCATAGGTTTTAAGAGGGCATATCTCACTCATTTCTTAACGAAATGGAGTGTGTGAGGTATCAAATTAAAGCTCAGGGTATCTATTTTCTTGTCCCACAAGATGAGATTTTTATGGGTGCTATACCGTTACCAGAATTGGTAAGAGTGAACACTGCCCGAAATTTCCTTATGTTGACAACATATTGTTTGGAGTTTGTAAAATTCATAACTCCTTTGTTCCTTAACCAAACAGGATGAAACTTATGTCAAATTAAAGCACCAGATGTCTAGTTTATGGTATAAAAATCTCAGAAGAAACTAAACAAAGAAATGCTTCCAGTTTTAAGTTCTGTTCGCTGCCCTATTTTTCTAGTAGATAATTTTAAGCAGTTGGTTTACGATGGACGTATCTTGAGTTATATATATCCAATTGAGGATTATGATATGTCATTGAAAAACTTAAAAGGTCTAGTTTAACATAGTTAAATATAGGAATTTATGTGTAGGTAGACAGTCCCAGGTTTTGGAAATGTAAGGGTTGTTCAATGATGAATAAATAACATAGAGTATTCTTCACCATGTTAGTCGATGAGGGCTACATGAGAATGATTTAGAGTTTGTTTACACCATTGGCTTTGTGGTATTGCCTAATAAGGGAAAGGTAAATTAAAATAATTAAGGTTTTTGAATATTATACAGGTTATAATTATTGTAATTGAATGCGGAAATAATTATTAACAGTGAACAGAATACAAGTAAAAGAAAAGGTGTATTTGTAATTCTAATCAATTATTGTGATTGTAACTTCGCTTAATATCATATGTGATGGTAATAAACCGGGTCAACAAGGGGCGTTACAGATCGCACAGTACTTGGCTCAGCCATAATAATATGCTAAAATTTTTAAAAATATTTTATCATAATTTATTTAATTTCAAATAATTAGCATGTCTAATAAAGAATTATTTTTTAAATCAGAAATAAAAAATTTATTATTTTTAATGCAAAATCACTAAACAATATTCGTAAATTGGTTATGTATGTCTTAGGTGCCTAATCATAACGTAGGTCATTAACAATGTTATAAGCCACTAAGCATGTTATAAGTCACTAACTGTGTTGCTAAAGTATTTTTTAAGTCACTATTCAAAATATAAGTCACTAACAATTTTCTAAGTCAATATTAAACTTTTCTATTGATATATTTTAAATATATAGAAAATAGATATTAAGACTTACTTGATTCACGTAGCTTGGTTGCACAAAAAATAAAATCAGAACCCAAACAAAATTGTAGAGAGAAGTCAGAAAAAATATTAAAGAAAAAGTTGAAGTGAAAAAGTGAAAATAGGGAATTTATAGAGAGCAAAAGGCGCCACATGTTGCTAGGGGAGGCACCACTTTATTCCAATTACGACTGAGTATATAAATCCGTAAATTGATTCAAAGTTTTTATAATTTTTTTATTAAAATAACAATATTTAATTTTTTTTTCAATATAATTGACTTTAGTATATGAAGGATTGAAGGGTTTAGTCCATATTTATAAGATGTGAAGGTGTCCTCCACTGTCCTCTTTCCCTTTATGTATTATTAAAAAAAAAAAAGGGATAGCGCGTGTTTCTGTCTCACGCACGCGTTCTGCGGTCGCTTCACTTTCCTTTCACTGTAACTAACATGCATCCACTTCCACGCACAGTCTTCCACTATCGCCCATGACTTCCAAAACGCACCGATTTACCACCTGTAACCGTCACCCTACCAAACCGGTCACCGGTTTCTGCGCCTTCTGTCTCAGCGAGCGCCTCGCCGGCATTGAATCCTCCTCTGCCGCGGCCGCCGAGCCGGAGCTCCGCCGCACAAAATCTTTCTCCGGCAGAAGCGGCGTCCCTCCCTCCTCCGCCGCAGTCCCCGAGCCCCGCCGAAGATCCTGCGAGGTCCTTGCGTCGGCGGCGCCGTCGCGGAGCACGCTCTGGGACCTCTTCACCCTCGACGACGACGAGAAAAAGCCTCCGAATCACAAGCTCGAGGTTGATTCAAGAAGAAGCATCCACAATGGCGGTGATGCGATTAGGGTTTGTGGCGAAGATGATGATGAAGAGACGAAGACGATGAAAGAGTTCATAGATCTCGAATTGCGTAGCAGGAAGAACGCGGTGAGAGATTTCAGAGACATCGCGGGGAGTTTTTGGGATGCAGCTTCTGTGTTCAGCAAGAGGTTAAGGAAATGGAAACGGAAAGAGAAGTTGAAGAGAAACCATGGCAGCGTTGAGGAACAAGGGGTAGTAACAAGATTGAGGGAGACACAATCCGAGGTTGGAGAATATGGGTTGTCGTTGGGCAGAAGATCCTGCGACACTGATCCGAGGTTGTCCGTTGATGTTGGTCGGTTTTCGTTTGATGCGCCACGAGCTTCTTGGGATGGTTATTTGATTGGGAAAACATGTCGCAGGCTTTCCCCAATGGTTCATGTTAATGGGTTTGTTGATGATGAGAGGGTTTTGGTTGAAGAGGAAGAGGAGGATGTGAATTTGGAAAGTGGTGAAGAGCATTGTCCTGGTGGGTCAGCTCAGACCAAACATTACTATTCAGATTCTCAGAGGAGAAGGAGGAGTTTTGATAGATCGAATTCTCGTAAGAAAACAGTAATTGGGGATGTTGATGAATTGAGAGCGATTTCTAATGCAAAGGTTTCTCCAACCACCACCGAGTTATTCTATGGGGCAAAGGTGCTGATCACTGAGAAAGACTTGAAGGATGCAAATTTGAAATCTCCAAATAATGTTCAATCTGATTGTATGATTGGGTCTGCTTCCAATGATGCTTGTGATGCTTCTAAGGTTGATCAAAAGGGATTAAAGAAGTTCCACAAGTGGGGTAGGTTGTGGAATAAGTTTGGGTTAGTGCATAGGAGAAGGGAAGATAAGTTAGGAGAAGAAGAGTATGCTGCTGGGGATATGGTTAATAAGCCAATTGCAGAGTCTTGGCAGAAGCTAAGGAGGGTGGTTAATGGACAAGGGAATGAATCAGTTAGTCAGAAGCTTATTCGTAGCTATAGTGTTAGTTGTAGAGATACTTGTAGAATGACTGGTTTAGTCAACGGATCTGGGGTTCCTGAGGCCGAAGTCAATGTTTTGAATGGAAGACAAGAGGTTATGGTTCAAAGGAATCGGAGTGTTAGGTATTCTCCAAATAATGTTGACCCTGGCTTGTTAAGGTTCTATTTGACACCATTGAAGAGCTATAGGCGAAGCAGGGTCTGGAAAGAGTAGCTTAAAGGATTCGAATCCAACAACCAGAAAGTTTCTTGTAAAGCTGTAACCGTAGAAAGTACGTCTGGTTGTAAAACATATATGATGTAATTGTTTGTTGTACATGAGATTAAGCGCATCACATTATTACATTCTGGTTGCAATTGTTCTCATGATGTTGGTAGCAGAATAAAGCAATTTTACCGTGATATTATGGCATAGTAAATTTCTGATTGCAACACTGCTAGGAATAAAATCATGTACAGCACTTGATTTTGCTAGAATTTATTGCAAGAGAAACCTTTAAATCTGGGCAAGACGTAGGTAAAGTTTTCGAAGTCTGTTCAGATAGCAGAGATTAAACTTTACCTTCCAATTTCTGGTTCAGCTATGCTATTGTTATAGATGCATGACCTATAACTAATTGTAAATTTTCTCCAACTATTCTGAACCTAGTTTATTTTTTTTCGTATGTAACTTTTCCCTTTGATTCAATATTGATTTTATTCTTTTGATTATAATCTTGAAATTAGAAAAAAAAAATGTTGTGCGCAAGCCTTGAGTTCCTGACGTAAAAGTGAGATATGGTCATGAGAATTTCAGGTAGCTATTTGATTGGTATAAGGACAATATTATAGTACTTGATTGTAAATTAATTTTAACTGAAATTGCATAAATCGGAATTATGATATTGTATTGCCTTTCTCTCATCTCGTGAAATTTGTAGTCTTAGGGTGTAGATGTCTGATGTGTCAACTAGCTTCTTACAAGTTTTTGTGCGGCAAAAGCCTTCCATTAATGATCATTTTCTCTGAGTTATTTACATTTTACAGGTTCCAAAATGATCAAATTCTGTTTCTTGGTTATAGCTTTTCAAAGTCAGGAACCATTGACTTCAATCAAGTTATGCACTTCATTGGCTACTGCTTTTGTACTTGCTTAATATCAGACCATTAGTATTACATTGGCTGGGAAATGGGAGGCTTGCAAGCATTGATAGACAGGGAAAGGATTGATTCATGAATTTCAAGCTAGTTGTCTTACTCTTGTAATCTGGAGCTTTAAAACTATTCATTGAATTCAATTTGCATTTTTTGTCTGGGACTGTATAAATAGAATGCTAGTTATTAGGAAAAAAAATGGGAACAGATAAAACTATAGTTTCAGATATTGTTATTGTTATATCATTTTTTGTGTGTGACTGTTTCATTTTTCAACCTACAATTTATGATGGGTCCTGCTTGCGGTTGGCACATAACTTTTCTTTTCAATGTTATATAGTACTTCTCTTGACTACAACGTTTAAAAATTGGTTACTAAGGTTTTGTGTTTACTACTTTACTCATGTTCTTGGCTTGAAATTGGGGATTGCAGACTGAGAATCTAGTTGCATTGGAATATTAAATTTATAAGTTGGTGCTTAGCTTCTGATCTAGCGTCCGTTTCTCATTACCTCCTTACCTCCATTGGAGTATTAATTTATTTGTGCTTCTCCAGTTCTAACTGATGTTTCTCATTGATTTGATTTGCTGCTTGCTTTTTGCTTGAAAATGGCCACAGACTCGTTAATGGTGAATTTCAATTTATGACAAGGTCTAGCTTAATGGATCGTTCCTGGCGGTGACAATTCGATAGACAACCCATTGAGACTAAACGAAATTTTCGTGCTTGGGTTGACCCATATTGATATTTTGTTGTGTTCGTTTTGGTAACAAAGGACACAAAAAATTTGTGTCGTGTTTATTGCATGTCAATTTGCAAACCTAATACTGACTCAGATTAATTTTCTTTTAGGTTATTTGTATAGTGTTGTATCATATAAACATGACATTGGTGAAAGTAATATTCAATATAGAGATTATTCATATCTTTAATGGTTATTTGTGTTTTGTTGTGTCAATCAACATAATAAGCAGGACATTTTGAGATTGACAGATTATTTATATTGTATTGTGTTAACCTGCAAAATGAACGGCTCATGATTATGTCAAAGATTTTGACACGAATCTTTATTCATGTTATGTTTGAGTTTAGCATATTTGTATTTATGTTAAATCTTGACCTAACACGAACATAATCCACTAACACAAATTGTCATATGAAATTTCATTTTCTGATACTGCTAAAAGTGAATATTTTGGATTTTCGTCCCGTTTGGATGCACCAGCTTTCAGCTTTTGAGAGCTTCTCTACTAAGATAAGTAATTACGTAGAAGCGGTGTTTTGGTTAATGTGTTATGAATAAGCCCTTATCAAGTTATGAGAACTTTTGAAGAAGCTATTTAACCGAGATTCTTGAAAATGAGGTGCGGAAGCTAATTTCAGCATATAATCTAAATTAGAGAAAGAAAAAGTCTATGAGCGATAGATAGATTTATCCAAATGCTGTGTTTGGCTAAGTTGCAAAAAAGATTTTAGTAACGATGCAAAAGTAGGGTTGTTTTGATTTAAAGATAGTGATGTATATTTTGATTGAGTTCCGTTAAATCAATTTTGAAGGTTAAAATAATTTATGTATAGATGGAGAAAAAGGTGAATAATATTATAAATTGAAGGAATGTGAAGGTAAAACCTAATATTATAATAATTATTGGGTTTTATAAGTATCGAGGGTCCGTTGGAATGGGCTTATGAAAAAAGTGTTTAGGCTCAGTACCTATGTTAAAAATTTCACCGTATTGAATTATTTATTAATAAAATATAGAGTAAACACCCTTTTTAGTCCCTGTCAATATCTACGAAGTCCTTTTTAGTCTCTGGCAATAAAAAAGGACCAAATTGGTCCCTGAAATTACAAAAAAAGGGTCATGTTAGTTCTTATGTCAACTCCCAAATATGTAGAGTGGCCCTTTTCTTATACTTTCAGGGACCAATTTGGTCCTTTTTTATTGCCAGGGACTGAAAAAGACTTCGTAGATATTGCCAGGGACTAAAAATGGTGTTTACTCTAAAATATAATATCTAGCTTAATTAGGCTCAGTACCGGGTAAAAAAATCAATTCAACATAAAAGCTTGTTAGGTAAAAGTCACGTTAATTATTTAATATTATATTTTTCTAACAAACTTCACAAATTTGTTCCACTCCTATTGATTGACTTTCACAAAGATGAAAATAAGAAAACTATAATAAGGGATATTGCTTGGAAAAACACACGAGCATAACCACCAACAAAGACGAGCAGACTGATCATCCTTTCCCTTTTATCATCATTCAATGTTAATCCTGCATTTAAACACAGAAAAATTCTTCTTCCTTATTCACCATGTAGCATGCAAGAGTTTCCTAAAGTATACTATATAAGTTTGCTAACTAACACTACTTTAGCCACACACTCAGTTCATATATCATGGGAGTGACACTGGCATTCGGTGAGCAATCATTCCACATCAAAGCCCTTCTCCTGAAGTTCAGCAATGACTTCATTCCTCATCTTCAACCACAACTTCTGAGCTTCCTGATCAAACTTATTGCTCTGCAGTTCCTTCTGGTTATTGGATGCATCCTCATCACTCTCAACCACCCCTTTTGGACCATTGGTGGTTCCAATCATACCTCGCTTGGCAATGAACTCCTTCATTGCTTCTTCATCACCGGGATACCGGAACTTTGGCTGTTGTGAAGCCTTATGGTAAAGCCACACAGCCCCAATTATGGCGTAGGTGCAAAGTAAGGCCTTCCCAGCCTGTTTCCAAAAGTTGTAATCTTCTCGTTCCAACCCAATTTTATTCAGGTATTTCTTGGCATGCATTGAACTCAGCCGATGAAAACCTGCATTGGAAAATAAGTACATAAAGAAAATTCAACGAAAGAAAAATATAGAGGGAAAAAACTGAGGTTCTGTCAGACATTTCATCGAACACCTAGCAAGCAAAACTTGGATTCTATTGAAACGGATTGATACATTGCCCATAGAGAGGTTACCTGATGTGGGGTCCTGAAAACGCTTAGGGAACGGGAACATTGCAAAAGTGCAAGTTTGACGAGTGTCCTAGTTAGGGTGGGAGTGTTTTTTTGTTACAGATAACCTTCAAAATCAAAAGGCCACAATTAAGGGATTGTGTTTGCTAAAAATTAAAACTTTTAAGGTTGAAACTTTGATATAGCAATGAATTTAGCAGATAAGTATGATGTGAACAGATGATGTTGGAAATTTCCTGGCTGTGGAATGAGAAGCAAGGGTACCTGGTTTTTCGGCCCACCCAAAAGCCCATTTTTAAGTAGAAATTACCACCCCATTGCTAATCCCGTTTAGCAAATTTTTAGATGAAAGGTTTTTTCACACACCAAAAAAAAATGCACAAAAAAAAATTGTGAAGCTTTGATGCCTTGATAGAAAATAAATAAATAAATAGATAAATATATATATATATATATATATATATAGAGAGAGAGAGAGAGAGAAAATAGGGTGACTGAATTTCCGTGAGGTGTGCCAAAAAAATTATTTTTGTAAATGACATGTTATGAGACAAAATTTCGTTTAAATTCAAACATAATTTAAGAACTCAAAACTTGTATATAAATTTTTAAAAAAAATAATTATTTCCTATTTATTGATAAGAAATTTTTTATAATTTTATTTTATATCAATATTTTAATAATATTTAAATAAATAATTCAATAATTTTTAAAAAATAAGTATACTACAAAGTAATTTTGTTTCAATATCTAAAACAAATTAGCTTTAAAATAAACTATTACACTTGTTTTTTAAATCATTATTTTCAATTATCTTAAGAGAGAACATAATTTTTTGTTTTGTGAAAGCTATATTTTAGTAAAATTTTCTAAAAGTAAATCAGTTCACTCAAATTCACTTTAACTAAAATCAAATTCGTCTAGAATTAAGTTTATACAATCTAATTCAAATATTTGCTGAAACTTTTATGTTGTATCTCAATCAAACGCAACTCAAAACTTACCTGTAATTCAAAGTAGTTTGCGTGCCTTTTTTGAGTTTTATCTCCCTCAAGCTTTCATCATCACTTCATAAGATAGAATAAATATGCTCATATCATGCAACTATTTTTTCTCCCTCTAAGACATTGCTAACTCATGTTTTTCTTACTTGTACTTAATTAAAAAAAAAAATAAAAAAAATCTTGTGATTTTAAGGCATTCCTCCATAATTTAAGGCAGTATGTGTGCGCTTGTGCTGAGGTATGCGGCCAACTGAGAGAAAAGTAATGACTGTTTGTTTTCTGAGTAAGTGTGAGTGTATGAAGTACATAATTACTACCAAGATTAGTACACCTAAATTGGGTGCACTAGGCCAATAACATAATTTATTATGAATTTATGGTGGATTGTTATAGTTAATTATTAGAGGGTGGACCATAGAGTAGTGGTTAAGTTATTGTTGTCTTGTGAATTAGAGTTCGCATGTATTTGGATATTGTTCTTCTATGGATCCCACATGGCCACATCATCTATTAATAACAATATAGTAATAGACTAGGATAAGCAAACAATTCAAATACTAAGAGATAGGATGTATGGTCTTATCCCCAACAGTTACTCCTCTCTACCTATGCATAAACCCATCTTTAAATAGTGGATTAAATCAGTGCACACACTCATGTTATTTGGCTTTTAGTTTTTTAATATATAATGATTTGTCACCCTTTGCGGCATCTCTTCTATATATACTCCTACGAGCATATTGATCTCATATTAATTACAACTATATGGCCTACATTCACAATCCTCCCGATATATAATTATTAGCATGGAAAGACAAAGAAGGAAATGATTGAGTGAGAAGAGTGAAAGTGAAAGTGAAAGAAATAAGAGTTTCATGCTATGTACTGTGGTTAAGACATAAGTCATGGTATATTATTGATTTCATTTTACTAATACAGAATTTCATGACATCTCTAGTAATGCCTAATGCGAATAAGTTTATTTGTTTGGATCAACCAAGTAGAGTTCTCCAGAAAATTTAACTTTCTGAGATGAAACTTTGTGTAGTAGGACTATTACATGAAATTGTGCAAGCATTGGTTAACTTTGCTTCTTGCATTGCATCATGAACTACGTGGTAAGCTTATTGTATATCATATGAAAGCATTCTGATGAGAAAGATCTGATACATAATGAGAATGTTAACAGAACGCAATGGTTGTAAGCAGTAATAATAAGAACTTCACAGCATTTTGAATAGGTTCAACGATTTGATGTGGAGATTACAGTGTACTAATAAAATTGACCATATCTAATTGTATATATGAAAAATAAGACCTGTGAAGGAAACACTTCCTGTGTGCTTGTGTGTTGAAACTTCCATTGTACAACTTAGCACACTTTTCAACGGATAGTTCCCACAGTTCTTTTATATGTATACAACTTAGCCACCAGAAGGAATGCTACCAAGTTCAGCACACTTAACACTGCCAATAGCCAGAAGAAATAATCAATGTGACCATAATTCAAATTATCAGGTATCCATCCAAGACTTCCATTTCTAGTGCTGATCTTTGTCACAATTGTTACAAGTAGAGAACTCAAGTACTGTCCCAATGCAACTGTGAGTAATTGTAGAGCAGAACACAGGCTTCTCATGGCATCAGGGGCTTGTTCATAGAAGAACTCTAACTGACCAATGAATGTGAAGACTTCTGCACAACCTATAATGAAATACTGAGGAACTTGCCAAAATATTGACATGGGTATCTCATCAAGTTTATAGTAGTTGTTCCTCCTTACAATTCTAAGCCTTATGAGCTCCAAAACTGCTGCAGCCACCATGGAAAATATGGATATGAAGAGACCAATTCCCATTCTCTGAAGCTGAGTTAGACCATTTTTGTGTCCAGTTAACTTTCTGGCAATTGGCACAATGATCCGATCGTATACTGGGACCCAAAATATGACACTAAGGGTGTCAAAGATAGAAAGAGCTGCTGATGGGATCTCAAATGTAGATTTTCCAACATGTTTATCCATGGTTTGCCCTTGCAACACAAATAAGGTGCTCATTTGACCATAGACAGTAGCAAATATAATGCCAGTGGCCCATACAGGAAGCAATCTTAAAATGGACTTTAGCTCTTCCACTTGGGTTACAGTGCAAAGTCTCCACGGGTTAGCTGAGTACTTCAAATCATCTGATTCTACTGGCACTGCTGCTTTGTCAAAAAATCTGTTACACCACAATAAGAAAGTGAATACAAAACTAGATAAAACAATAGGCTATTGTCCTTTTTCTGAACTCAAATATAGGTTAATGTCTAATAGGCAAAGAAACGGGAATGGATTCTCTCGTGTCTGTTCTTAACATGACCATATCATGAGAAAAATCAGTCATTTATTAACAGATTAATAGTCACAATTTTAATGACAAAGCTTGTAAAACGGAGAAGAGAAAAATGGTCATTTTAATTAATAGTTGTCTATCTATCAATGAATGATCGAGATTTTTCACATAACATGTTATAAAAAAAGACATGGGAGGGTTCATTCCTAAAAGAAACATTTCGGACAGCCCTTTTACAATTTGCAAGAATAACAACACTCACTGAACAATTGAAAATCTAGTGATCATAAGATTGTCATATTTGATTGGGAATAGATACTGTGTGATTTAACATGATTATTTCATATGAAAGAATCTTAATATTTTATAGACAAATCAACGAGATAAAAAGTGTTTGGATAGAGATTGACAAAAAGATAACCGTGGATCTGTCCATAAACGGTTGAGATCCTCTCACATGATATGGTCATGTTAAATCACACAAGTGAGGATTGATTCCATATTTTGATAAGATAGCATGTGAAATGGCATGAATGTGGACTAAAGCCCTGCCTCCCTATAATTTAGAATTCAAGTTTGACATCAAAATTGCTTCTGATTATGAATAATCAAAAAACACAAATTGGTCATCTAGAAATTTATTGCCATTTCTTTACCTTAACTCATTTGTGTGGTCAAGCTTGCGGCTTCCTTTAATAGAAGATTCTGTGTCAGCAATCTCATGTAAAAGAGACTTGTCAGCAGGTACTTCCACATGGTACTTTCTTATGGATGCCACTATCACCTGAGAGATACGAGTGAGAGGGCTACCTCCAGGTTTCTGATTCCTATACAACCTAGTTCCTGAAAAGAAGCTCACCACTGCAATTGCCATTGCTACCGCTGGAATGCCAAAGCCCCATCCCCAACCCACATTATTTTGTATCCAAACCAGTAGAGAAGAAGCAATAAGAGCACCAATGTTGATTGAGAAATAGAACCAGTTGAAGAAAGAACTCTTGTGTTCCTTCTCAACTGGGACAGAATCATCAAACTGATCTGCTCCATAGGATGAAACACAAGGCTTAATCCCTCCAGTGCCAAGAGCTATGAGGTAAAGAGCTAGGAAGCACACTACACTCTGTCCAGTATTAGCATGGCAATTTTCATCTCCATGACCATGACATGTTGGTTTTATGCCAGGAACTGATGCAGACAATGTTAAAAGTGTCATTCCCTGTTCATGAACAGGAAGAACCTTTTAGATGTTGTTTAACAAGCTAGAAGATAGAATTTGATATAAACTTGGACAAGTTTGCACCCATGATACTTCACAGCAAAAAATTTGGAACTTTTTTTTTTTTTTTTTGTGGGGGTGGGGGGGATGACTCTATATTGGGATGAGAATCTAAGTGTGAGTATGAAGTCTCACATTGATTATAAATCATATAAGTGGAAGGACCCATAAACCCAATACCTTAAGATTTTGAGTTTAGATGTGGTGCCCAAACCCACTTATGATGGAAAGTCCATAGCTTACACATAAAATGGTAAGACTCCCATCTCCGCTCGTGACCCAATATTGGTATCAAAGCTAATGGTTGATGGGCTTGTGTGTACTGAGTATTTGGAGATGGTGGTGGTTATTGTTCAAGTTTTTTAGTCTTCCAAATCCATGATGAGGAGACCAAGTGAACCAAGGTCTTGATGAGCAAAGACAAGCCTAAAAATGTGCCAAGTGAGGACCATATAAGTGGAAGGACCCATAAACAAAATGAGTTTTTGGTTGAAATTTGGTGTTCGAACCCACTTATAATAGAGAGTCTGTAGCTTAGCCCATATAATGACAAATCTCACCCTACTATGGGCTCTTCCCGTGATCCAACACTCTGGGGGGTTTCTTTCTTCATTCTATTTATTTGGAATCAATACTAAATCTCAAACAGATGTTTTATGCTACAAAGAAAATTATATCCCTTCTTTAGCAAGAAGCTAGTAACCAAGTACAGATTGAAGAGACCATACTCACAATAACATAGACTATTGAAAAACAGAAAATGGTCCAATATCTTCCAAGATAGGAATCAGCCACAAATGCTCCAATCAATGGTGTGATGTAGCATGTTCCACTCCAATTAGAGACATTCTTGGAAGCAGTAGCACTGTGCTGATGCAGCCGATTCTTAAAATAAAGCACCAGATTTGTGCTCATCCCATAATAAGCCAATCTTTCACAGCATTCATTTCCTGTAAATTGAAGCTTGAAATGATAAGCATTTCATAATTAATATATATCTCATTCACCATAGTTGGACTAGAACAAACACCACAATTACCTAAGATAAAAGGGCAGGCTCTCCAGGTTCCAGTTTTCCTTCTATTAGCTGGATTTCCAAGGTAATCTACCGTTCCATCTTTTGTGTAAACATCATCTTCTTCCATTGTAATTCAGAACTCGTACACACTGGCCAATTATTCAGGTGAGGAATTCACTTGCAATTGCAAGCAACCAAGCATCACAGGAATTGAAAGGCTAAAACACCAAGAATTAGAGAATAATAAATTATAATTTCTCCAATGTTTTGACAAATAGAAACAGGTAATAAAGGTCAATATTGTACTCAATTGAATAAATATATATATATATATATATATATATATATATATATATATCACTTCTTTTGAGCAATCTCAGTTATAACTAAGCCACAGCACTTTGCTCAAACTGATGTCTTTGGCAGAAGAACAAAACTATAGAAATCAGTTTCTGATTCTGATGTTTAGTTATATTGAATACAAGAAAGGTTCAGAGATCAGTACAGTAGAAGAAGAAAAAAAAAATGAGACTTCAAATTTGATTGCAACCACAGTAAGAATCTTAGAGGATAAACCCAAATCAGAAAACACAAGCTCAGAATGGGATCAAAGAAGTGCATCTCTGACCTTAAATTCAGCAACTCAAGCAAGCATCATTCCCAATGCAAAGATGTAATGCATAATGATGTATGGGCTTAATGGACTAATGGGTACCCACTTAAATACTTGCTTTTTAGTATGGCCTTGGACCTTTAAAATATTACAAGATAATCCTAGTTTGAGATTTGTTGACTTGTCTGACATGTAGTGTGATGTAATATGCAAATAATCTTTCTTTTTTTTATGATTTTGTGATATACCCTCTTTCAGTGACCAAAATTTACGGCACACAGAGAAAATTGAAGAGACTTGGACCAAAGTTTTGCAATTTAGGTCAACTAGAATTTTGATCTATGACTTTTGATTGCTTAGACATACTTAACTGTCTTTACGCATAATAATATGTTGAATAATTGGATCTCTTATATGCAAAATTGAAAATAAATAAAAATTAATGATAAGAAATTATATGTGTTTATTTAGACTACGGAAGTGTGAGGTGGGTCAGTGTACAGTAGTGGGAACACAAAGGTGACAAAAGCCAAAGCGGAATTTCTATTCTTATTTACATAATATTTGCTTTTCAATGGAAAAACTACGCACGTTAGTGTTTTGAAAAGAAAACAACAAAGAAAAAGAAAAGGGGCTATGGAAAAAAAAGCTTTTTGCATATATGATGATATGACTTGAATCGTTAATGAGAATGGCAACTATCATCAGTTCTCAAGAAAAAATCATAATGAATATTAAATATAATTTGAGGATAGTTTTGACCAATAAAAAAGGCACGATGCTTTAATACCAATATCAAATTTTTTAATTTGATATCAAATTTTAATTGTTAATTTCTGTCAATTTGATGAATATAATTTATTAGGTTATATTTATTAATTAATTAATAATTCTTAATAAATTATAATCATTGATTAACGAAAATTAACAATTAATATTTGGTGTCAAATGACGGAAATTTTAATCGTTGATATCAAATGATTATATCCCTAAAATAAAATATAATTTGATGATCTTTGACATGCAAGCATACGTTTGTATTACGTGTAAAATAATGGAAAGTTTTGCACGTGAACATTACCAGTGACAACTAATAATTAATGTTCTTTTGAAAACAACGTACTGCATATGTGGGATCGTCAATAATAGTGTCAACCACAAATGACAAATGACGCATTGCATATTGTTAATGACCGGCTTTTGTACCAATTAAAGAACTTATTCATCCACGGTCCAATTGTTTATCCATAGATAAATGATTTGAATATATAAAATGAATATACTGACAGATACATAGGATTTTGCTTTTGCTTTTAAGAATTTTTTATACTTGATTTCTCTTTCTTGAATTAGTTTAACACTATAAATCACATAGAAAAACCTTGTTACTTTAGTCGTTAGTTGATGACTCCTTAGTTCATCAGGTTTTTAAGCATGAATTAATATCAATTTGTATGATTAAATGGATGGAAAAGAGGTTAATGTCCTCGAAATCTCTCAAATACAAGTTCTGAAGCTTATGTTGAAAATTTACATTGTTTTTGTAGGGAAATGGAGCTCAAGAAGCAAAAGAGAGAAGGAAGAAGATTCTGAAGAATGGGAAAATTCTAAGTGTTGGGCGCTAAAACGCCCAAAAACTGAACGTTTTAGCGCCTTGTTGCACAAAAGACGCTGGTGCTGAACATTAAAACGCTCAAAACTAAGCGTTTTAGCGCCTGAACATTAAAACGCCCAAAACTGAGCGTTTTAGCGCCCAAGACAGTTAAAAGCAGTTGGGCATCCGTCAAGGTTGAGCGCTAAAACGTCCAGAAATGAGAGTTTTAGCGCCCATGTTAGTTTTCAGTTGTAATTTGTAAATTATAAAAGGACAAGGGGCCTTCACATTCTGACAGATTCCAGATATCAGATCCAATCTATCATATCTCATTCTGACTTTTCCCATCACACTAGGAGAAGGTAGATCAGATCAGGTCTTTCATAGATCTGATCTGACTCCTCATTTTCTCTGAATGTCCAAATTCTTTAGGATTAGTTCTTGTAATAGTTAGTATTTTCTATGTAATTGTACTTGGAGATTGAAGACTCAACTATCATGACAATGGAGTTTGATCTATCTTTCTTCTCTTGTTTGTGTTTCAATTATGTCTGAGTAGAGTCCTTTGTAGTCTGATTCAATGGAACTCAAGTTTGAATTTATGAATGGTTAATTAGATGTTTTGTTTATCTATTATGTGATTGTATGAAGTTGTCTTGATTAATTCTTCATGTTGAGGAATAGTGTAGAACATACATGTTTACATTGTTTCTCTATTTTTGACAACTTCATCATCAGTGTTCTAGTAGTCAAGGGATTGATGCTAGGATTCTGATGTGTTCTTAAGACCTTAGTAATTAATGCATGTATTAAGAAAGGAATCACCAAGGGATTGGGGTTTCTGATTAATGTGTCTATCAGGGTAGTAAGGGATTACATCTTGAGATGATAAGAAAAAGGTTGATCAACATCACATAGTAGATAATTCATAATGGAAATTGGTTCATCTATAAATTCATGTTTGAGGGAAAATGACATCTGACTACTTGTTTATATTATAATTTACATTTTATTTAATTATCAAGTTTAATTCAATTCAGTGTAGTTTCTGGTGACAAGAAATCTATGAACTTTTGTTTGATTCAACTCAAGTACATATGGTTAGTCAGTGCTTGACACAAATCCTCGTGGGAATGATCTTTACTCATCATTTTATTACTTGTACGACTAGTACACTTGCTAGATCCACAACATTAGTGCACAAACTTTCATAGTTATATGTATCCTACAAACTTCCAAAAGTAAAATTCAATTTTAAAACCCTGAATTAAGAAATGTTTATAAAACCTTTTACTGAAATCAAAAATCATCACTTATGTAGAAGAGTATGTATAATTATTATAACTAGAGACTATTTTATATATTATAAAGATTTTTATAAAAAGGTATAACTAGTTAATTAATATAAGCAAAAATTGTTCATGGGTAAAGTGTGTGTCATTTTAAAGGATGTAAAGTTGTGTCATTTTAAGAGAGAGAATGAGATAGATAAAGGAGGAGAGAGAGTTGACAAAAAAAATAAAAGTGTAGGTCCCACCTCTTTGTGAGAGTGAAAGGATATAAGTTGTGTCATTTAAAAGGATAAACATTTTTCTCTTAAAAGTTTGGTAGAAAAAACTTTTTCGTCTGTATGATCTTACCCGGTTCGAATTATATTAATGTAATAATCGATAAACATAAATAATATCCAAAAAGAAAAAATTAACCATTCAAATAAACATATTTTAATTTAGGAAAAGAAGTATCTAATGTTATTTTAGACAATTTTATATAACTGAAACGACATCGTTTTGAGTTGAAAAATTAAAAAATTATAACGATAAAGACTATTATAATCATAAAATAAATTAAAATTACAAATACACCATAATTTTCGTTTCAAAATAATATCGTTTCAGTGAACATTAAGCAAAGTTGTCTAAAATAATTTTAGAAAAAATGAACCCTTTAATTTAACATGTGACAGTAAATATAAACTGTTCGTTTGAATAGGCTAAAGGTAAATGATAAATCATTTATTCCTAGGAGCTGTTTAGTAGAGGGTTTTTGTTTAAATTCTTGGAAAAATGAAAGTGGTAATCTAAGTTACCTATATTTGATAGAGGATTTCTGAAAAATTTTCTGGTAATGTAATTTTTTTAGAATTTTATTTTGGGAGCAAAATTTAACTAAGAATACTACTCAAATATATTTCTAGCAATATTCCGGGGGAAATGGTTGTATTTTAGGATTCTTGAAAAAATAAAATTTTTAATATATTTCTACCAATATTTTCAATCAACTAAATATAATATTAGAAAAATTGATTCAATATTTCAGAGAATATTTTGACCTATCAAATAACTTTTTATAATATTTTTGGAAAAATTAATTTCTCACCATATTATTAAGAATTATGATTTTCAAATAAAAAA